GAAACATGTCAGTGTACTGGAAGGACCAGAGCCTTGTAGCACCGGGCCCTACAGGGATTCCACCAGAAGGATGGGAGACCAGTTCCCTCTGCCCCCGTCTGCTCTCCCCCACCCGGCTTTCCCTGGTGTCTTCCGCACGTGGCATCAGATGGCTCCCCACGTGGCTACATCTGTGGGATTGTCCAACTTCAGCGTCCCTTAATGTTTCTTAGCATAGATTTCTGAAATGGAGGCCTGTCGACCCAGCTCAATTTTTTGAGGCAAGCCACACATTTCAGAGGTTCTGGACAAGCCTGGATGAGCCAGCCATGGCCCTGCAGGCCACCTCGCCTGGTCCGGTGAGCGGAGGCCAGAGCGTGTGTGGTGAGGTGGTCCTGATGGTCCAGAAGGAGGCAAGGTCTAGATAGGAAGCATATACGAACTTTAACCAGAAGGGCTGATGTGTCCCTGCTGAGTTTGCTTTTCTATCCTCCCGGATGGTTATTTCATGCCTGCTCTTTCCTCCAGCCTGCCTCCCAACTCCTCAGACTTTTCCCATTTCACGGAGAAAGTCCAAGCCTCTCATTCCTACCGCACAGGACAGACCTGTCTCCTCCTGTCCCGTCTTCTTCGCCTGCCGCCTGTTGGATTCGAAGTTGTGCCTTTGCGTCTCTCCAGGGCAAAGTGGCCCTTCTGGGCCCTCCACTTGCTCCCCCAGCTCCCCCAGATGTCCCCACGTTTTGAGCAGCAGTTCCTGTCCCGGCTGCACACCGGCTTCCTGCCTGACCTCAGACCAGTTGTCCGGGCCCGGGCTGGTCAGGGTGCCGGCCTGGAGCCATGTCTCACGAGTCCTCCCGGGATTTGGGAGCTTGCGGCAGAATGCCAGGCAGCTGGGCACAACGCCTCAGTCCCACTGACTGTTTTTCATGGCACAATGTTGTCGGCGAAGGAAGCAGAGTGTTCACTTGCCTTCTAGCACAGGCTTCTCTCAGAGGAGCAAGGGTTTGTGGATGACGCTGTAGTCGCCCTACTCTGAACCCTCCCCTCTCGCTCCACCGAGGTCACTCATGTCCGATCTTCACGTTGCCAACACCAGCAGAGGCTCTCAGGAGCGTTGGGAAGCAGTGCCCTTCTTGACTCTCGTGGTTGCCGGGACTTTCTGTTCTGCTTCTCCCCTTCACTTGCCTCTTCTCCGCAAGCTTCTTCGCTTGCTCGTCCCCTACCCGCCCTCTGGCCGTCCGGTGCTGCAGGGGCCCGGGCCGGGCCCGTTTCTCCATCTACCTTGCCTTTCATGAGCTCGCCTTGTCCAATAGCTGATGACTTCCGAATATAGATCTGCAGCCCCCACCAAGCTCCTGACTCGTTGCTCCAGCCCCTCCTTGATATTTCCATGGCGATGTCCAACAGGCATCCTCGCCCATGGATTGGTGTGAGCCGAGCACTTACTGTTCTTTCTCAAGTCCGCCCCTTCTCCCTCAGCTCGTGAGGCAGGATCACCACCCAGCCAGCTGCTCAAGCTCCAAACTTGAGGTTCGCCTCCTGTGATTTCTGTCAGCTGTGCCCCCCAAAGTATGGCCCGACTGCATCCTCTTCCCGGTCACCACTCCGTCTCCCAGGCGGAACCATCCCCCTCGCACCCCGGCCCGCTTCAGGAGCCTCCCCCTTTTTTTTTTTTTAAAGATTTTTATTTATTTATTTGACAGAAAGACAGTGAGAGAGGGAACACAAGCAAGGGGAATGGGAGAGGGAGAAGCAGGCCTCCCGCAGAGCAGGGAGCCTGATGCGGGGCTCGATCCCAGGACCCCGGAATCACGACCCGAGCCGAAGGCAGACGCCCAACGACTGAGCCACCCAGGTGCACCCAGGAGCCTCCCTTTTCATTCCCCCATGCCCTGCTGTCCACGGGCCAGCTCGAGGGAGCTTTTGAAAGCCCGCGCCTCCCTGTGTGAAGCCCTTCAGGACCTTGTGCTGCTCTTGGAATAAAAACGTGGCTCCTTACCGTGGCCCGTGAGCCCCCAGGTGACCTGGCCTCTGCCCTCTCCAGGTCCATCCGACACTCTCCTGGTTCCTTCTGCTCCTGCTGTTCTACCCCACTTTTGTCCCCCCTGGCCCCCTTCCCTCTCCTCCGGTGTCATCTCAGAGATGTTGTCCCTGATTCTTGGGCCCCGGGGAGAGCGTGGAGCTGTGGCTTGAGGCCCACGGCATAGGTGAGTGAAAGCAGGGAGGCTGCCCACTGTAGCGTAGCGGAGGGCCCAGAAGTCAGGCCTGCGTGTGCGTCCTTCACATCCCGACCAGACCTCTACTGTCCCCAGCAACTTGAGGCTTTTTTCCTAAGCCTCCAGGAACTTCCGAATGCATCTCACAGACGTCAAGAGCTGGTCACCACGGAGGCTGCTGCCCCTGAGAGCTAAGGTGGGGGTGCAGACAGCCGCTGAAGGAGCAGGCCCAAAGTCAGGGCCCACGCTGTGAGCCTGAGCTGCCGGGGCCCTTGCCACCCTGCACTCTGGGGCTGCCTGCCCGCGCCCGGCCCCGTGAGGGGTCCTGTGAGTGGCAACAGCGGCCCCTCCGTTTTTCATAGACCCGACAGGCCATTAACTCCACGGAGGAAGAGCTGCAAATCAGAGGGCGGCTAATGGCTTGTGTCTTTTTAAACAGTTTTGTGGGGCCGTGTCGGGGAGGGAGGGACTGCGGTTTCAGAGCCGACAGGGGATGCTGCCCCGATGATGCTGTTTACAGACTGTGTGACCCATGGCAGGACAGTTCTTCTCCTCCTCCTTGGTCTCCTCACTTCTCAAATGGGGATATTAAGCTTGTTCCATCCGACAGCTAAGAGGCACTGAGTGCCTTCTCCACAGCATGCGCCGTGTTACAGGTTCTCGTCTCGTCCTCAGCAGGTCCGCTGAGGGGTACGCCACCATGCTTAGCCCCTCCTGGGGGGTAGCCGGGGCATAGAGAAGCTCAGAGAGGCTGCCCAGGATGGCGGGCAGGTGAGCTGTGGGGAGAGGAAGCCGGCTCCGCCTGGCTCGCGGCCTGTCTTGTGCCCCTGTGGGAGGCCAGAGCACCGTGGATGTGTGCCCTTTCCGGTGCTCACGGTCAGCCTCTGCGACAGAAGCTGCTCTTATTGTTCAGCTGATGACAGTGGGGCCCAGTGAGGCAAAGGGACTTGCCCGCAGCCATTCAGCCAGTCAGTGGGACGTCCTGGGTTTGAGCCCAGGTCTGTCTGAATGTTCTGGGAAAGACTTGAAAAGGAGAACTGGTAAAGCAGGGATTCCTACACTTGTCAGGTGTTAAGAGAGTACTAGTGAGTATTTTTAAAAGCCTAATGGAAATTGTACACTTGCCAAAATAGGGTTGTCCTGAACTTTAATATTTGCTTTTGGCTGGCCTTATGCCGTCCCAGTGCACGAAAATTAGTCATCTTGCACCATAAGAAACTCTACCCAGTGTGGGTAATACAGACAAAAATCCCGTGTCCACATGCAATGAGAGGAGTGGTAGGAGATGAACATCCCTCTGCCAACAGTTAGGTCTCATACAAGTCCTCTTCTGTCTCAGAAGCCCCATTCCAGATTCGCCATTTAACATGGTCACTTAGGTGTAAATGCCATCTTCCTCATCAGCGTGGTAATAGGCCACCCGCTGCCCTGGGACAAAACTGCACACAGAAGATCGTGTTACAAAAGTCCCTTTGTCTGAAGAGTACTGCCCTCCTGCCTCCAAGAGCATCTAACTCCACGCTAGTCCCGGGTACTGTGATGGACAGATTTCTTTTTTGTCCAGTACCCAGCCGCCACCCCTTGGACGTGTTTAGAAAACACTCCACCTACCATAGAGACTCAGAGGCTGGGCTGGGGACATCCCAAGTCTGATGCACACGGGAGCTGGTGGCGCAGAGAAGCCCGGCGCTCAGCAGTTCATCCCGGATAGTGACCACGGCGACACCAGGGACGGCATTGGTGGCCTCAGCACCTCGTGCTCCAGTGGCAGGGTCCGGGTGCTGACATGGTGTGAGTTGGCCTCTGGTTATGGCCGCGCCGGCTCCCTCGTCCTGCTCATTTCCTGAGCCTGGTCCTCTGGCCGTTCTGGGGATCCTGGGAGGCGCCAGACACCTTCTCAATCTCATTGTCAGCCAAAGGGCTAAGAATCCCACTTTTCTGGAGCTGTTGCTCCAGACAAGGTTTTGTAACAGGTTTGTAATTCATTCCCAGGCCCCTGACAGCACAGCTTCACCACCTGAGCACCATCTCAGGGCACAGAATGTACCAGAATCCTAGTTTGAGTGGGCGGCCGGACCGCAGGCTCAGCCAGTCTCTGTTGTCTGTCTGACCCGAATCTCCACTCTGCTGCAACCCACGGGGCATCCCTGGACCGTGGGCACCGTGAGGGTGGGACGGAGTCCTCCACCTTGTCCCCAGCTCCTCGAGCAGTGCCCGGCACACGGGAGGTGCTCAGGAAGGTGTGACGGATCAGTGAACCAGTGCCTCCGGGCTCTCTCTAGCCGCAGGGAGGCTGAGCTGGCCTGCGATCAAGCCCGGGGCTTGGGCAAGACGGAGCCACATGCCTGGAGTCCGCAGGTGGCCTGCAGCTCGCCACTAAAGCCTGGCTGGGGAGGCTGTGGCACTCAGAACAGTGAGGAGGGCAGGTGCCCCCTCTCCTCTGAGTGGAGACCACGTGCTTTCCAGGCCTTCCATGTCACACGTGCACAGAGGCCCTAAGTGAGGAGGCTGGAGACCCACTCCCCGTTCGCTGAGGGCCCTGGAGTCCCAGGGTACATCCCACTCACCCCCACACCCGCTAGGTAGAGGGGCTGACATCTGTCGCATGAACCCTACTGTTCCTCCCCGCCCCCCCACCCCGTCTTCTGAGCTGCAGGTTAGCAGTTGCCTTTCACTTTGTAGTTTCTTTTCCCTTTCCCCCCATTCATTTTTAATCATCGTTCTCTCCCCAGGAAGTTCGGCACCTTGACCAGAGGAGCGTGGCCCTTCCTTCCAAACCCTCTCCAGACATACCCTCCCAGCATTGCTCCGGAAAGATGCGGCAGCTCAAAGGCAAGCCCAAGAAGGAGACGTCCAAGGACAAGAAGGAGCGGAAGCAGGCCATGCAGGAGGCCCGGCAGCAGATCACCACGGTGGTGCTGCCCACGCTCGCTGTGGTAGTGCTCCTGATCGTGGTGTTCGTGTACGTGGCCACGCGCCCCACCATCACCGAGTGAGCCCGGGGGGGGGGGGCAGACTCCCCCAGCAGGGAGCCGGAGCCCGGGAGGGGGAAAGCGAAAGAAAAATGGCTTTCATATTCAGAGATTTTTCCTGATGCTGAGCTCTAAGCTGGAGCACCCTGTCTTCTCTGGTCTTTGACTTGATTAAAGTTTCTCCAATTTCCCTGGGAGGGAATAGGGAACGTTTTATCAGTGAATGTGCCATACACCTTATGGTCCACTTCATGTGCCTTTCAGACTTCAAAGCAGTGTGTGTGTGTGTGTGTGTGTGTGTGTGTGTTTCTTTTTTGCTTCTGAAATCGATATGTAACTCCACCTGGTAAGAGGAAGAATCTTCTGGGCCATGAATCAGTTGGAATCAGTGCTCACCCCATCCCCATTGTTTAGAACATGACTCTTTGCCTACATGTGGTTCACGATTTCCAAAGGGACTGTATTTCTTCTCTGTGCTTAATGTGATTTGAAATATGTCGACTCAAAAGTGAAATATTTATTTTTTGAATAAAGGAGATAATAGCCTTAAACTGGATGTTTATCTTGCTTTGCCAGGAGGTGGCCTTGCTCTGAGGGAAGCGCAAGGAGGTGTTGGGCACCCTCTCCGGGAGGCCGTGTCCCTCTTCTCTCCCCGCCCCGCCCCCCCCAACCTTCACCTCCCCTCCGCTCCCTGCTTGAATTGCTTCCAGGATGGCTTCTGTTTTTTGTCTGGGTAGGTTGAAGATTGAGAGACTCTTGAGAGGGGGAAGACAGGGTGCACTAATTGGTCTGTTTGAGCGAAGGAAGAGTTCTAATTGGAATATGACTACAAGTGCTTTTTACACCAGTTAGAAACAGCAATGGGAAAGTGGTCCTGGAGGGAAAGGTCAGACTCAGTTCTGTTCCGGCTGAAAGGATGCAAATTGTTTGCAGTCCAGCTGAGTTTTTGATGCAGATTGGCCCTGCCAGAAAGGTTCTGCACTGTATTCTGAGGGCATTGTGAGCCCGGCCCTGGTTCCCGAGGGAGTGACCCCTTTTTGGAAGTCAGATTCATGATGACTATTGTGAGGGTGTTGGTCTGCTCATCATTGCTGATTACAGAGAGGTTTGTGGGGAGAGAAGTGCTTTTCTAATCACGGTGGCTACATGACTTGCTCACTGATGGCTCAGGCGGTTACTGAGGACATGGGGCCTCTTGGAGCGAGTTCCTCAGGAAGACGAAGAAGCTGTTGGAAGGAAGGACCCCAACTGATGCCCCGCATTCCTGGGCCTCAGCGGGGCTGACAGAGCTCTGTGGGCCTCTCCCTCTGTGAGAGCTGGTCTCAGAGGGAGATGCTGCGTGGCCTTGGGCCCACTCAGGTGACTGTGGCCCCGGGAAGAGATTTACTAAAATATTTATCAAATGCAGAGGCTGCTAGCCTATAGTGTTTCTTAAGTTTCTATTTTTCTCTCCCTTGTTCGGTTCTCTTCCAAGCCCCAGTGTTTGTGGTCTGGGAAAGGCTGAAGGCCATGGCCTCAGGGACCTGCTCATTCAGGTGCAGAGCAAAGAGGAGGCATTCCTGTTTTTTACAGCGGCCGCAGGGCCACTGAGATGCGGAGCTGTGCCCCCTTCTGTCCCAAGAGTGGCTGTTGAGGGTGGTGCAAGGAATTCCCATCCACTCCGCTAGAAAGAGCCCGGGCCATGTGTCGCATGATCGCCTGGTCTGTGTTTAGTTCCCAGCCTACGCTTAGAACAGTGGAATCCCACCGAGTCTCAGTTTCCCTGTCCATAAATAACTGGTCAAGTCACTTCTCGGGAAGTGGGCCATCTAGTAGAAAACGGGGCTTATCGAGCAAACCTGGGTCTTTATGCAGGTTTTGCTGCCGGAACCCCTTTTGAGTCCACTTCCTCATGTGAAAGTGGAGGTTATCTTGCCTCATAGGGTTGATGGGAGGAATCAATTGCAACAGTAAATTTGTAAAGCCAGGTCCGGCTCCTGGGACATAGTGGTTACTCTATGAATAGTAATGGTAGCTCAGCATTTTACACATATTAACTCACATATTTCTCATACAGCCCTAGGAGGTAGGTACTGTTAATACTCAGTTGTACAGATAAGTAAACTGAGGCAGGCCAAGAAACTTCTCAGTGTCTGACAACAAGTAAGTGGAGAAGCCCAGGTTTGTTTGTTTTTATTTTTATACTTTTGTTATGGGCAATTTCAAGCATATATAAAAATAGAATAATACGACATACCTCATGGAGCTATTGACCAGTTTCTGCAAGCCAGCACATGGCCACTCTTGTTCATCCATCTCTGCTGCCCCCACCCCCAGCCATCCTCTTGTGCACACACACATTGGGTCGTTTTGCAGCAAGACAACACGTGAGATTAAGGCTCAGACAGTCTGGCTCCAGCATCCATGCTCTTCATCATTAAGATCTATTACCTCTTAATAAATACTGATTTCCTTCTCACCACTCTCCCCGTCTAAAGAAACCTTTCCTGCCCAGGTATGTGTGAACAGTCCCTACTGGACAGTGGTCATGAACAGCCTCGGATGCCATCTCAAACAGACAGGCTGTGAGTTCGGCTTTGTCCACTTGGTATCTAACAGCCCACTCAGTGTCTCATCTGTTGCTCGCTGGGCCAGGACCCTCAACCCCGTAGCAATCCAGGAGAAATATCTGTTTTGTGGGTTCCTTATTACAACATCTGGGCATTCTTGCCTAGGACATTTGGGGTATGGTGTGAGAAGAGCATGTGCTCTGGGAACTCCTAACTCAGCCACTTTCTAGTCAGATAAACCTCAGTCAGGTCCCATAACCTGAGCTGCAGTTAACCCACATCGATCAAGTAAGTTTCATTTTACTATGTGGAGGATGTTGGGAGGAGAAATAGGGAAAAAGCATGACATCGCGCCTGAAACGTTGTAGATGCTCAGTAAGCGGCCATTCCTTTCCTTCTTGTCAAACTTCACAGAATGTACATCAAGGCCTGCCTCCCTAGGCTCTCCTTGCCGGGCTGACACAACACCATCCACTGTGTAACAGATCCTTTAGGTGCTCCTGGCTCTTATTTTCACTCACTGTTTTCCTCTTTGTTGTCTGTCAGGGGGCCTAGTGAATTTGATCTGGATTTTCAAGAGAAGGCAATTACCAGACAGGCTTGGTGAAAGCAGGCTGAAAATGGCCTTTTAAAAGTTAACACAACTTTGATGTGAACCACCTCCTGGCCAGGAGGAGATGCCAATTTACTGCGGGTAGGATTTAACAATTCCCAGGGTAAATAGTACTCCCATGTGAGTGCCCCGGTAATGATTTGAGACACCAGCTTTCACATTATTCCAAGTTATTCAGCAGCTTCAAGGCAAAACTGAATGATTTATTAGGAGTTTCACAGAAAGTCATGCTGGGGTTGTACAACAGGATCTGGGCTCTTGGCTCTCAGAGCCCTCATTACCCAGCCTAACGTTTCTTGAAGAGCAAATTCCCAAAGAGGAATCAGGTTAGAAACAGGAATAGAAACAATTGTCATTGGTTTAAAAGGTGTCACTTGATGTGTTTTAAAAAAATCACAATGCCAAGATGTATTTGTGTTTCTCCTGGTTCTGAAGCTACCAGCTTTCGTTCCTTGCCTGACAGTTCAAAACAGAGCAGCCCATACCTTTCCTCCATGCCTCCTTCATGAGGAAATAGGAAGTGTGCTGTCAGACTCACCTGTACTTTGGAGATGGGGACACCTGCTCAGGGTTGTTAGGAAGATGGAAGGAGTGATCGTCCTTCCCTTTCCCCCCCAAAGGATCTCACATCATTATTTACCTGTTGGAGGTAGAAAAAGAAGGAAATCTCTTGGAACTGTGGCTCTTAGGTTTCTTTTTAGAAGTCTACCATCATATTATATGTGCGTGTATGTATTTGTGTGTGTGTGTATTCCTTTATAGCCCTGTATTGAAAATGTCCCATGTGGTCCTCCTAAAGGTGTCTGCCTTACTTTTTTTTTTTCCAATGAGATTTATTTTTTTATTATGTTAGACACCATACAGTACATCATTGGTTTTTGATGTAGCGTTCCATGATTCACTGTTTGCATATAACACCCAGTGCTCCACGCAATACGTGCCCTCCTTAATACCCATCACTGGACTAACACATTCCCCCCACCCCCTTCCCCTCTAGAACCCTCAGTTTGTTTCTCGGAGTCCATAGTCTCTCATGGTTCATCTCCCCCCCCGCCAATTTCCCCCTCTTCATTTTCCCCTTCCTTCTCCTAATGTCCTCCTTGCTATTCCTTATGTTCCACAAATAAGTGAAACCATATGATAATTGACTTTCTCTGCTTGACTTATTTCACTTAGCATAATCTCCTCCAGTCCCATCCATGTTGATGTAAAAGTTGGGTATTCATCCTTTCTGATGGCTGAGTGATATTCCATTGTCTATATGGACCACATCTTCTTTATCCATTCGTCTATTGAAGTGTCTGCCTTACCTTGAATGCAATTCTTCCCCCTAGGAGCCATCTCTAATTCTGTGTTCTCTACCGTATTTGCCACAGACTTGGTTAAGCATGAAAAAATGAGGTACAGAATCTTAAGATCAAGGAAATGTATGAGTAGTTTCCTCAAGACTCTTTCAGGATATCTATACTCAAGTTGGGTGAGGGTTTGCACATCCTCCGGATTCTTGTCCCACTTTCCCTCAGGCTTCCAAGATCAAGGAAGAGCACTTATGTCTGGAGGATTCACCTCACCTGCTCTATCAGGCCTAATTTTTCTTATGGGGCTTTGTGCAGTTTAGTAGCCAGTCTGTCCTCTTCTATTCTGAGTATTTTCTCATTATTGTATAAGGAAAATGTCTCTCACTTCAATGTATTTCAATTGGGTCATCTGTATTATCTCCCTGCCTGCCAGTCTTCTGGAAAGGAGCCAGTCTTTTCAAAAAGCTTTTAATCCCTTAAGCTGTTGAGTAATAATTTAAGGAAAGTAGACCAGAGTGAGCATTGGGATGCGCAGTACTGCCATGGGTAAGGATCTCTCTCCTTCCCTTGTTGTTGACTTCCCCATTGTTATATGCAAGCTGTCTATCTTTGAACCTTCCTAGGAAGGAAACCTGTCTCCACCTGTGAATATTCCTTTTCTAATTGAAACAAAGCACAGCTGTCCACAACGCTGATCACCTCCATTCTTTGAGAAAGCATATTAAGCCTTTTGGGATTAGGCCTAACTCACAAGGCACTAACTCCTGTGGACTGGAGTAAATGCATAAAGCCCATCGTGGACTCCTTTTGCAAGGCCCTCCACCTTGAAATACCTCTGCCTCTAGCTGCATTACTGGCTCAGTTGAAGTTCTTCCCATTCATTCATCTACCCAGATTTTCTAGAAACATTGAAATTCCCTGCCTCACACAGTCCTCTCAGACTGGCCATGGCAGCAATTTTAACATTAGGAAAACAATTATAAAATGAGCGTGCCATAAGGGGCAAAGGATGATATATACTAGTAAAGTAATAATAAATGATATGATCATGGATATGTATGTTGCCAACAATATAGCTTCAAAATAGATAA